AAATATTTTCATGTCTCGTTGCATATTGTGTTTTAGCTAAAAAATAACGTCAGAAACGTGGAAAGTTGATTTTATTTTAAGTGATTAACGAACTTGGATCCACAAATTCTTAATTTCAATGATACGGAAGAAAACTACTGAAGCAGGTAGTTAGTTGTTTGAACTGTTAAGGATGGGTTAGAGCAGGATACCCAATAAATCTGTGCTATTGCATGTGATTATATCATAGTACTGAACAAAATTCACGTAAACTAAATGCAGAACATGAGATGGGTGTATCTAGATTGCCATGAGATTGTAACATCATCGAATCATTTCATCTCACTTAGCTTTTCCTAGCTTTACTATAGACAAGTGAAATCATAATGTTTTCAATTTTCGCGTAAAGTTTCACAAAACGCTATCTACGTACAGCCGTTACTAATTATAAACTAATAGATTAGAGAGAAGACAGTTGGCTTACAGCACTTATCAACAACACTTGAGCTACACCAAATAATTGGATCTGTCCAGCACGGTTTTTGTGAACCAAGAACCCTAGGATACATAGTGTGAGTACGTTAATCGCTGGGTCATGCTCAGCTTAGATCAGAATATAAACGTAAATACAACAAACATCTACCCCTTGACCGGCTTAACAGGCTCCTTCTGAATTCACCTATTTAAACATATCAACAAATAAAACTGTATCTAAAAGGATTTTCTTCTGTTATTGATTTTAAAATGTTATATATATTTATGTATTTTAGTTTTTACACACAGCGCAAATATTTGAGAGTTTTACAACATTAAAATTTACAGAAGATGGTTCCACTGCTCTACCTTTGCTTGCAATGAAAATTAGTATATGTATGTGACAATTACTTCCTAAATATGTTTCTCTATGCAATAAATATGTCACGTAGACTTTCTAGTATCAGAGTTACGCTCTCTTACATTTTAAAAGTGTTGCTGAAAATCGCGAGAAAATAATTAAAACATTTTGCACTAAATAAGCTAAAAACAAAGAGATAAGTCTAAATTACTGTAACCAGTTTGTCCTGTGTTGATGCTCTAGCTTCGTGACGTAATTGATATGTTAAGGTCGAGATGAGATATTCACCTGCATATCTCCATGTTATCAAAAAATTAAGGAAAATACTTTTTGTCTCTCCACAAACTCATTTTAAACTTGGAACTACCTACATACATCAGACTGTTGAGTTTTCTTTATGGAACGAAAGTATGCATCTAGTGTGTCAACCTATCACAGTGCTGTCGTAATCAGATTTTGTTCTAGGTATTTCAGGTGTTTACTTGCGATATTTATAATTTTGATAAGAACCTAATGCTACGTATGTGGAAAACAAGTGTTACGTCAGGAAACAAACTGTTCACTAAATAATTCTATGAATCATTTATAATTTCTGATCAAACTATATCTCATGAGATTCGGCCAGTTAAGTAGATTAGGGAATTTCTAACCAAATGTAAATATTTTATGACATAAGAAGTTTTACTAAAAATAGATTCATTCTTTAGCTTTTTAATTTTTTTCTATATAGTTAGAGTGATAATTCTAATTTTCTATGCAATACTCCAAAAGTATGTAAGTGAAAAGTGTAAACATTTTTGTTAAAAATCAGTTCTCTACCTCGACAAATAGTATTTCTTTTGCACTCATTGAATTTACCTATATATTGTAATGTTATTTTAACATTTCATTGCTTCTCTATTGTTCTCAAACAGTGTTTATTGCATTTGAGACATTTACCAATTAGAATTGATAGTAGATTCGACAATTAGTCGATTTTATGAGGTATATTTTTGTAAGCTGAGAATCCAAAATAACTTTAGTCAATACACTTGCGCTGCAATAAAAGCCATACATTATGAACGACTTAGTACGTTGTAGGTTTTTTTTATTTTAATGTGTGTTCAAGCATAATTAATTGATGTCTTTAGCTCCCCCCAAGTGGCACAGCGGTACGTCTGAGGACTTATGCTAGAAACCGGGTTTTGATACCCGTGGTGGACAGAGCATAGATAGCCCATTGTGTAGCTTTGTGCTTAATTACAAACAAACGTCTTTAGTTCTTTCATAAAGTTATAATGTAATATTTTTGATTAGTGAGAACAAAGTTACCCACAACTGTAAAATCAGAACATTTCCATGGACGCAGTGGGCGATAAAAACATTTTGTTACCTTATTGTTTCGTAATATGTTAAAAGTATCTTTTATTACCTTATTGTTTCGTAATATGTTAAAAGTACCTTTTATTACATTTATTACCTTGTTGTTTTGCAATATATGTTAAAAGTACCTTTTCTAAGGTATCTTATAAGTTTGTGAGGGTGTCTTTAGGCAACATGTAAATTTGTTTATTTTAAAATTTATTTTTCACATTACTTTAAAGTATTCTATAAATAAAAATAGCACAATTTAAACAAACGACGGTATAGGCGGTAAAACGTCATTATCGTTTTTTATATAAGTTATCATTATTGGCTAACAAAATAATGCTGAAGTGATTCTGTCGTAATAGTGGACGCATCAAAGATAAGGAAGGGAAATTCTTTTTGAAAGAGATGTAGTGGCCAGAAAATAGACAGAGTATATAAGTAACTTGTATGATGACCCTAATCGTGGAGAACCCAGAGTGATAGAGAAACACTGTTCCAAGCATTATGAAGTGTTATATGTACTAAAAATGATGAAAACAGGGAAGGCACCAGGTATTGAGGAAGTAATAACAAAACATCTGAAAGCCCTGGATGAGTCAGAGATAAAGATTGTAACCAATTTATGTGACAAAATTTACTGATCTGGTCACATACCTAGTGATTTAAGCCACTCTCTATTTATAAAGTTACCAAAAAAGTAAAAGGCAATGGAATGCAGTCAATACAGAATCATAAGTTGAAAGTAATGCTGAAACTCATGATAAAGAAAAAATATAATCATATTAGAGGCAGAGATAACCGACACTCAGTCATGATTTAGGCTAGGTAATGGCACAAGAGAAGAGATATTCAATCTAAGATTGATCTTTGGTAAATGCTCGGAAGTAAGCAAGTACACACACACACACATACACACATACATGTATATATATATATATATATATATATGATTCATTGAGTATAAGAAGACTTTTGACAGGGTGTACCATCAAAAGATAATGGATGTGTTAACCAAGTGTGATACAGACAGTAGAGATGTGAGATTCATCCAGAACCTGTACTGGGAGCATAAAGCTATTCAACCTTTACACAGAATAAATATTTAGAGAGATAGATGAGCTCCCTGGAATAAGAATTGGAGGGGTTAATATAGTGGCACTGAGGTACGCTAACGATAGAGTGCTACTGGTGGTGTCAGAGGAAGCATTACAAAGGAAGTGAGCAGAAGAAGTTTAGAGTACGGGTTACCATGAATATAAAGAAGACAAAAACCATGGTTATGAGGAGAGATGTAAAAAAAAATAGTTAGAGTCAACACCAAAGTGGATGGTCACACACTAAAACAAGTTGACAAGTTTGTCTACTTGGGGCAACTAATATAAATGAAGGTGGTAAATGTGAAGCAGAAGTCAAGAGACAGATAGAAATTGCAAGAGAAAATTTTATCCGTGTGAAAGATGTATTAACAACAAGAAATATTAGGTTCGAGACAAAGAAAACTTATAAATTGTTATATATTTTCCTCTATGCTGCAGAGACTTGGATACTAACCAAAGAACTCTGAAACAAAATATAATGTGTAAATGTGGATGTTCAGAAGAATGTTGAAAAAAAATAATATACAGAGTTAAAACAAATAAGGAAATATTGAAAATGGCCAAAACATAGCGTACACTAAAAGCAGACATCCAAAAAAGAAAGTGCCAGTATTTTGGACACATTATCAGAACAAATTAGATTCAAGAATCTGTTCTATATATTAACCCTGGGGAAAACGTTGGTTAAAATAAAATGTATATATATATATACATATCTGGAGTGTAAAGGTAGTTTTTTCTAAACGTCTTATCAAACGTTGTAAAATGTTGTTTGGAAACTATAAAGGCAGTAGAGACATAGTAATGGGGTTTAAAGTTTCTCACTACATTTATTAATTTCTTAGAATAAATATGATTTGTAACCTACTACAATTTGTTTTACAAATTTACTGAATTAAATCATGAGTTGCTTAAGCTAGGTGGATCGGAATTCAGGTATGATGGTTTGTTCTAGGTACAGTTTCGTAAGCTTCACGAATGTTTCTAATTTTGTGTGTTCTTTTATAGTCAGAACTTTCAGAATTTGCATAATATTTTAAGCCTTCCAGAGAAAGAAAGTTTACTTTATGTTTGGTTTTGATGTATAGTCCTTTACTCATCACTAATAACCTGAAATACATTAGGTGTTTAGATGATATGTGACATTGGGTCACTATTAATTATCTGTTATTATTAAATGACTAACTGGTTATTTATTTACTTGTGAATTTCACTGAAAAAAGGATGACATATAGGCCTACGCAGCGCTCATGAACTGTGAATTCAATGTTATCTTTCATTCATGTTCTAGCGAGGAAAATAAATTAAAAATACATAATTAACCAGTTAGTTCGCTGAATAATAAAAGATAATAAACTGTGACGGTATGTCACATGTTATCTAAATGCCTAAAGTATTGTAGGTTATCAATGATGAATAAATGACTGTACATCTAAACCAAACAAAACTGCTTATATTCCACCACTATATGAGGCGTACTTTGTTTATCTGCATCGCTTTTCAAAAGAAGCGCTGATAAGCTGTGAATTCAGCGAAACCAAATGTGCTATAGAAGAAGTAGCAAATGAAAGAATAGATTAGGCCTCTACGTCATGTTTTTTCAATGAAATTCGCCTTTCTGTGAGAAAGAGAAATTCACAAATAAATAAATAAAATTCAATCGTGTAACTGTTTAAAAACATGACCATAAGAAGTGTATGTTAACTCATCTTAATATGTTATTACTTATATTTTTACAGAAATTATATTGAAAAATCGAAAGATTATTACAAATAACGTATGGCTTCTGAAAAACTAAACAGAAAACATGAAGAAGAACAATGTTCTACAGATTTTGCATTGAATAAAAAAAACGCTACTCCTAAACGAAAACAATACTCCCATGTATTGCAGTACAGAGAATATGACTTGTGTCAGGGAGAAACCTTCATAAGACAAAGTAGAGTCATTTCAACTATAACTCATGCATTTCTGTGTCCTCATGATAGACGTAATTCTGCAGAAGTAACTGACTTCTGTGACGATTTTTGTCATAATGAAGCAATACAAACATACTGTAAAGGGCAAGATTTTCTTGGCAGCGAAGAGTCAAGAGTGGAAGAAGAAACTTTCTCTCGTCAAATGACAACCCGGAAAGCGAAACCCGGACCTAATTATCAACAAACCTTAACAACTTCAAGAGGAATACAAAAAACTGGTCACCTTCTTTGTGCAACTAAAGTTCTGTCCTATTTGCCTTTTGTTCCTATCATTTCTTTAACTGATAATTTGCTAAAGTCTCCCGTAAACCATGAGGATTGTAAAACTGAATATGGAAAAATTAAAGAGGAGACTCAGAAATTTTCTAAAGATGCCATTAGATATGTCTTAACTACCAAACTGTGTAAAAATGATAAACTTATACAAGAGTACAGTCCTTTAAACGATCCTCTTGCTAGGTCAGTAAGGAAGCTAGTTACACAAATGATAACGATGTACAGAACTTCTTACGAGATCTCTGTACAAAAACTGGATATATCGGCCAATAACATCTTTGAGGCTTTCAAGGCTGTTACTGACAATTTATTTGAAGGCAACAACGACCTGATAACTTGGAGCCGATTGATAGCCCTTCTGTCCTTTGGCGCTCAAATGACCTTACATTTATATGAAAACGGAATGGAAGAGTTTGCTTCAGATACTGTGAATTTTGTAGGTACCCACCTTGGTGAAAGAGTCACACCGTGGATTCAGAAGCAAGGGGGTTGGGTAAGTGTGACCTTTTAAAAACCTGCTTTATGCACGTAGATAACCCGCTTAAAAATCATAAAAATAGCTGGGTTGCAAATAAATAATCTACAAAAGCATAAAAATATTTGAGAAAAAATATAAATGTACATTGAGTAAATAATAGTTTCCAAAGATGTGGTGGGGGGGGGGGTATAGAGTGATTTGGTGCTTTAAATGGCGGTGGTGTGTGGGGTATAGAGTGATTTTGGTGCTTTAAATGTCTCTTTATTCAAGGTCCTTACTGACATTCATTGTTCATGGCCAGCAATAGATATGGGAGAAAACTTGTACATCTTGAAAGTTAAAAAATAGTAACAATATATATATATATATGTATGTTTGTATGTGTGCATTTTGTGAAATTGAATTCAGTAAGCTAGGAAAACAAATGATTAGGTTGTTAAAATATTTAGAAGTCTTAGTGCAGTTCAACTTCTAAATGGTGCCATCTTTGACAACTGAAAAGAATAGTAGTTTGATTCTTCCCCCATCGGATGAATGTAACATGACTTATTATCCACTGAAAGGGTTAAAATAGAATTACTTGTAAAACTCAAAGTAACCTTTCCCTAGCTGGGGGGTAACGCTAATTACCAGGTCATACTGCTAGCTCAGTAGTAGCCACTAGTAGGGAAGTAATTAGATATATTTAAAATAACATTAAAGTCTTGTAGTTGTGTTCAACGACAATCATTTAAGTTGTAGTGGTACAACAGTTACATAAGTGCTAAAAGACAATGTAAAAAAGATAAATTACAAAGCTTTTATTTTTGCATTGCATACAGATGCTTTAAATCTGTTCAATGCTAGTGCGTGTAAAAACTTTCAGCGCTAGCAGCGGAATTCTTGACTCGTACTTGAAACACGCTTTGTGGTTATGTATTTAACGATCTCCTGGTTTCATCAGACTTCAAGATTAGCTGGCAGTATTCCTAGTTGTTTCCGGTGTACATGGACAAATGGTGAACTGGTGATAACATAGATAAGTCTTATATCATTATTCATTTATGTTTGCATTCCAAACTACTTTCCTTCGCGATTTTCTTGGGCGAGTAAATTCCGTTGGTGATTATCAGCTAAAGACTCAACCAATTATGTAAGTATCAACACACAAACACAATGTATACAACAGTGAAAAGGGTGACCGGTAATTTGACTCCCAGTATTTTCACTTCCAGTAATTTCACTCCTTGTAAATTCAAATGTCAAAAAATAATCAATAATAAACGTAGCATTTATTAAAAATTATTAAAAGTGATGCAAGTTATGAAAAATCGATCTTGGTTTTTCTGGATTATATCTAGCAAGAAGAACTTACAGGCCTACGTTCTCTTACAACCTATTCAGTCGTTCAGCTACTGCAACCAGCAGCAATTATGAAACACTAAAACATATTTTTCGACATTAATAAATTATTACATAGAATGAATTTACAAGGAGTGAAATGCATAGGGAGTGAAATCACCGGCAGTGAATTATCCTACACCTAGTGAAAAGATACATAAAAATATAAGCCAATAGTATTAAGATGTGGGATACAGTGGGGGTCTAAAGAACCAGTATTTAGCTTCAAATGACAGCTACATTAACTAGGAGCCTTTTTACTTCATTTATTTCGTAATATTATATTGCTTAATTTTCGAAATGAGACACGAGTTTCATCAGAGTGAAAACCATTTAGCAAATAAGTGTACTCTAAGTTTTTGAAAAATGCATTCCTTTTTTCTACTAGACAACTGAGAAATAAATGATTTGATGACGGAGCAAAGACATTAAAAAGCACTATCTTATAATCTTTTTATATTATAAATGTATTTGGATTAAGAGGGAAAAAATCCTTCTGAGAAAATCTGAAAATGAGAAGGTAATAAGAATTGAAACTGAACACGATTTAAATAAATTATATAATATATTTTGAAATAATTATCGCTATTAAATATGACAAATCAAGAATCCTTATAATATCATTTTTCTGGTTCAAGTATAATTAATTTATTACAAATGAACATATGTAGTTTATGTAGTAATTTAGTTTTGTCTTGTATATTTACAGTTAATTCCACAGAAAGTACATACACAGAAAGTCTTTACAGAAATTTCAGTAAAGGATTAGAAGTTTAATTTTTTAGATAGATAAATGTATAAAGAAATATAAATTTAGATATTATAATAAATCTGGAAGTATAGTTTGTTTGTTATGAATCTCGTGCAAAGCTACACGAGGG